TATCTATTTTTTTTTCTTTTTTTCTTCTTGTTCAATACGCTCTAATGCTGTTGATAATCGTTTAGTTCCAGAAGGTCGGCCTTCTCCTTTAATTCCTTCAGGCACTTTGATATTAGAAAGTTTATCTACCAGAATTGATAAAACATCGTCAAGTTTATCTAAAAGGGTAGACTTTTGCTGTTCATCCAAAAAACTTATATATTGTGTTTCTATCATGTAAAGCTTAGACTTGAGCAAAAAAAAGCTATCAGAATTAACTGAAGCTATTATGTGACTAGAATCAGGCTGATCTTGATTAGAAAACAACAACTATCTTTTTGGAATACTCGACAACATAATGGGACCTTTCTTTGGAAGCATATAATGACAAGGTATATTAAAATTAACATGCAATTCGCACAAACAAGCATCATATTCAGTTGCACTAACAAGTTTATTTTTAATATTATTGAGCACAAATTGAAATACTTTTTCCAAAAGTGGCCCTAATCGTTCTTTATCATCTTGTATTAACAATGGATTGATACATATACTTTCATTTTCATACTGTAATAAACTTTCTTCATGATGTAAATGCAGCCATCTATCCAAAAAGTTGAAGGCCTTGGTCAAACTTCCTGATGATTCAAGGGTATGCTTCATAGCTGAATGTGCACCTTCGATACGTTGTGTTGTTGTTGTACCAAAGTGCATGATTTTGCTCGTATACACACCAACCTATCTTTCCTTAAACTTCATCATTCTTTAATTTTTAAAATATATAGTACATTAAATAAAATTTGATTTTTAAAGTCCTACAAACTTAATAAATCTGTTCGCACAACCGGTTGAGTTAAGATCATAAAAAAATATTTTTATACATATTTTTTTGTTTGAGAATAAAATTAAAAGCTAGGTTTATGGTCAGTTTTTAAAATTTTATGTTATGAGGACCAAAATATTTAATTTGGCATTTAATTTAAAAAAAAATTTTACCTGTCAAGATATTTGATTACTTCATCCGCGTTTGAACTTAATACTGCTAGTTTCTTTTAATCAGTAATTGTGGAATTTAATGTCTCATAGTCTCTTAAGTTGATAAAAGAATCCATGGTCTTAATAATTTTACATAGTGAATCATTGTTGAAATATTTTCTCAAATTTTTTTTAAAATTATTCAAGATGTGCCAAGCACACAAAAGATTCTCAACTTTAGGAAAAATTATTCTAAGAGCACCAATAAGTGCAGCTTCATTGTTGGTTACAAATATAAAAGGAATAATATCAAAAAATACAAGGGAGGCAAGCTGTTTAACGATCCAAATATATGACTTTTCTGATTTGTCCGAAATCTAAGCTCCAGCAATACCGAAGGTTTGTAACTTACTAACTCCAAGATTACCAATGCCAACAAAGTTTACAAATAGCAATTTATAAACATTTGTTTTATAAGTGGCATCAATTAGAACCACTTCTGGAAAATGTCTTGCACTCTTAACCGAATTAGTGTGACAAAAAAATAGATG